CTACTCCTAGCTCAATAATAAGGGAAACAAAGGTAATTTAAAAGGAATGAAGAAATTAAAGCTTTTGATAAGTCACTCAATGAAAAGCTCAACTCTGAATTGACGAAATCCGCAAGTGCAGTGATCTGCGATGCCATTGATCAGGAAGCAAAGGCACTCGTTCGACCACCTTTCCAATGCTCTCTTCCAATCCACATGAAAATGTCTTGGTCCAGTTATCTTCAAGATTGTAAGGAAAATCGAATCACCTATCATTCTACGATATTCGTAAAAAAAGGAAGAAATCCTAAAGCAGTAGCCGAAGCAAAATGTTCGAAGATCTTGATGGACGATGAAAGCGGGGTACGAGTGGAATGCAAGACGGGCTGGGATTCGCAGAGTAGATGTGGTGAGGTATCATGGTATCATAGATGGTATCATGTAAAAAGAACGTTTTACCTTTATCTGCTACTGATAATAAGTAGTATCATTGGAAATTTCCTGCAATACCATGTCATTTCAAAGAAAAAAGTTCAACTGCAATTTTTTCTTTCCGAAACTCGCTTAGACATACAGTAACGGTGGAAAAATCAGTCGGACGAGTTTGCTACCCAGTGCATAAAAACAAAACGACTACGTGGCCAAAAAGCATCAATGGAACGTCTGATCAGTAAACATTAAACTATGAATGCAGAATTTTTAGGTTCTACATGGTGTTGCTTCTTCAGAATGAAAAAGTCTTAATCCAGTGGTCGAGTTTGCTCGCAAACGCTCAGGTGGTTAAAGGATTCCTTGAGAGCGCTGTATATTCTGCTTCCTGTGTGTACGCCAATGAAATGGCCCGATTTGAAATGTGGGCGTACATAAGTAGTTTGATGGCTCAACAGACTTTTATTTTTCTTGCTGTTTTCCACAGCCATGCTAACGATCGTCACTAGAACCTTATTGTATTCGTCTGCGTAGCTTCTGCCGTACAACGTTCATCACTCATTTTCTAAGATCTTTAGAGCCTCTCACAATGCTTTCTTACATGCAGTGGTTATGAGTGTTTCGTAATACACATATGACCCTTCAATACCCTCTCACCGGGCTTCCCAAGCTTTCCGTCTCTTTTGTATCTGATAAATGGTGTCAGATTTGTCTGGGAGGATAAAAAGCAATGAAGTGATGGCCCCTCAAAGTCAGTGTTTGGGACAAATATGCATCTATTCACCTTCATGACGTTGCCAATGAAGTCAAATGTATTTCGTATCCCTGAGCGAATGATGAAGGTTGGACACTTTAACTCTCTTCCTCTATCATTTCTTTACCATTATCCCTTGCACAGGAGTCCAAAACGCCAGCGCGAAAACTCCTTGAGGCTTTTTGGATAAATGCCAAAAACCCTACAATGAATAGCAGGGACGAATTCCCGGAGGTCATACGCGACCTGACCCCGTATGTTCGCATCGATTTTTGATGTGGGATGGTGCAATCGTCAACCATATGCGACTATAATCAGCTGTTCTAAACTTCCTCATTGGAAGTCACGAAAAAGCGGTGGGTATTTCGAGTTGTTGATCATGTAATTACCAAGGAGTTTTTCGTCTTTTTGTAAGTGTTATTGAAGCGTTTGGCCTAGTAGATTGTATATCAGTATACCCTTCCAGGCTCTGAAGAAGGCGATACTATCGAAAAGTCAGCTAGTGTTGTATTTTATTGTTTTTTATGGAAGTAAATGTAAGCTGAACGCGTTACTCCCCGGAAAGGACAATAGCGCGTTCGTTCCACACCATAGACACCTGCGGTCCAGAGTTTTGCAAATATCTCAGCAACGTTGTAAATGTAAGCTGTTTAAAAACCTCGCGATTGATGAACAAGAAAACGACACATTCATATTCCAATGCCGAGGTTAAGAGAAAGTCGATCCTGGCAACTTTTACCATTTCTGTTGGTTTGTTGATGCTCATCGAGAAAGTTTCATATTATTTCGCAAAAGAAAAGAGACTGTTATTGTAATGAAAAATCTGATGAATTCCATCATGTCAACGGTTTCCACTACACAACGTTACTTAGATATTTGCAAAATCTCAGACTGCAGGTGTCTGCGGTGGGCAACGAATGCGCTGTCACCCTTTCCAGTGGCTAACACGTTGCCACCACACCACGCGAGTCCTTCGTTTCGCCTCTCTCTCAGCTAGTTCTATTGATCAGTGCCATGGGTTCAATACCGGTATGGGCTCCCCGGTTCAATCCCGTTGACGAGTAACTGCTGATCACAATGTTTAACGTTTTGTTTTCTGCCTTCTATAATTTTCATGGCAGGTTACTAAGTAAGCGAAATACAACCACAACGTTGCTGAGATATTTGCAAAACTCTGGACCGCAGGTGTCTATGGTGGGGAACGAACGCGCTATTGTCCTTTCCGGGGAGTAACGCGTTCACCACCACACCATGCGGGTCCTTTGTTTCGCACGTCTCTCAGCTATTTCTATCGATCTTTTTGCCACAGCAATCACCCGTCAGCGGGGTTGATCTGGGGAGCGCAAATCGGCATAGAACCCAGTTAAGCTATGGCTGTAGTTGAAATCACAATGTTTAACGTTTTGTTTTCTGCCTTCTATAATTTTCATGGCAGGTTACTAAGTAAGCGAAATACAACCACAACGTTGCTGAGATATTTGCAAAACTCTGGACCGCAGGTGTCTATGGTGGGGAACGAACGCGCTATTGTCCTTTCCGGGGAGTAACGCGTTCACCACCACACCATGCGGGTCCTTTGTTTCGCACGTCTCTCAGCTATTTCTATCGATCTTTTTGCCACAGCAATCACCCGTCAGCGGGGTTGATCTGGGGAGCGCAAATCGGCATAGAACCCAGTTAAGCTATGGCTGTAGTTGAAATCACAATGTTTAACGTTTTGTTTTCTGCCTTCTATAATTTTCATGGCAGGTTACTAAGTAAGCGAAATACAACCACAACGTTGCTGAGATATTTGCAAAACTCTGGACCGCAGGTGTCTATGGTGGGGAACGAACGCGCTATTGTCCTTTCCGGGGAGTAACGCGTTCACCACCACACCATGCGGGTCCTTTGTTTCGCACGTCTCTCAGCTATTTCTATCGATCTTTTTGCCACAGTAACTGCTGATGGTACTGATCGATAGAACTAGCTGAGAGACAGGCAAAACGAAGGACCCGCATGGTGTAGTGGTGAGCGCGTTACCCTTCGCAAAGGGTAATAGTTCGTTCGTTCCCCACCGTCGACACCTGCGGTCCGGGGTTTCGCAAATATCTCAACAACGTCGTGGTTCTATTTCGCTTAATACCCTGCCGTAAAAACTGTAGTAGAACGAAAACAAAAGTTATTCATTGTGTCAACGGTTTCCATTCCGTTTCTGTTTGTACAAAATGAGCAAATTCATACAATAAAATACATGTGTTTTCTTTGTGTAAGCAGCTCAATTAATTATTCTACTAATAATATTTATGTCTTTACAATAACAACATAGGCGTCGGAGCTATCTGAATAGGATGTTATCTAGATACAACACCTTGTGAAAGGAATTACAAGAAGAAGGTAGTATTCCAAGTTTTAAGATGAACCAAAGTCTTAAAATACCCGGTACAACTCAATACCTTAGTTTCTAGATACAATATTGTACACTCTTTTGTGTGCAAAGACTCAAAGAAAGAGAAAACAACGTAAAAAAACAAGGACTTCTAATCGATAAAGCACAGTTCAACACGGTCCTATGCAAATCTGAGAATCAATCGATAATCGATTACCACATATTACACAGTGATTGAGACCTGACTTCTGCGGAATAAGAATGACACAGACACCAGTTATATCTAATCCAGTGATTATCCGATAACAGAAAGATATCGATTTTCTCTAGCGAGGAATAAATCCGGAATCGATTCGTAATAAAACAGATCCGAAAAGCAAAGCCAGAAAAACCAAGAGACATTTAGAGTTCAAGAGAGGAAAAAGAGGATTGTCGGTCCCACACAGATCGACTACCTGTAAAGCTATGCTCGAAAAGTTCGACATTCCGAATGAACTGGTAATTGAATACCGGTTGGTGTCGAATACTCGAATGGACTGTCGAATGATGTCTTGTAGATAAGTGACTTCGATGAGGTTCAAAGTAACATTTATCACAAAACCAAAGCAACTATTCATGCATCTTCCATGTGTAGACCCGTTATAAAGCAAGTCCAATACTCGAAGCCTATTCCACTTACATATTCAATTCGAAATTCGAATATTCGACCGAATTATGTCTATTGACTAAAGGAGTGAAATAAATCTTGGAACGTTAGTGAATTTCTTCTCAGTTGATAGTACTTTATGCGATTAATTACGAGCATGACTATGCAGAATACTGTATGAGCAGGTAGGTTACGGTAACAATGATATTATCACGGAAACCTGAGTGAATGACAAAACGCACTAAAAGATGTACAGTACACAGACCGGTGTGCGTTGTATGTTCAAGGTAATTCCTGATAAAAAGCTTATAGGCGCTTAGTAGAGGATAAGGAAAGCGTTTAAAAAACAATGATTCAAACTGAGGAGTTGACGAATTCCCTTCAATCGAAGTGGATGCTCACTTTAATATCATTCATTTCGATGCCAACAATAGCATTAGTACATCGGGCAGATTTCTTCCATACAAAACAAACAAAGCTTAAACTAAATGGTGTAACAAAAGGAGAACTTTGAAAAATATCCGTCACATGTTGGAAATGCTAGAAATCGTCTACGTTGTCGAGAAATAATCTGGATCGGTGAGGATACACCACGGATTATGATAGGTGTTCTGCTCGACTTCCGTCAAATGAGGAGCTAATCACTATGAAGAGGTGGTTCCTACAATTGATAACGACGATGAGTTGATCCCGACTAGCAGTTATCGTTGTGTTATATTCCTTCGTCGTCACATCAAGCAATCACGAACGGAAGGAACAGGTGAAGAAGAACAGCTAGTTCTTCATTTTTCGGAATTGAATGAATAACGATGACGATGTGGTGATTAGAATGCCGAGAAGAAAGGTCGTGATGCTGACCTGTAGATACTGAAAAGACTCTCACGAGGCTTTCGTGGCGGTGATGGTGAGAGTAAACCGTAGTGCATACTGCTTGAAGACGCTTCTGGTGACGTCGAATATCGTAATGTCGATGTTATTGGTCGGAAATCACTGAAAACAGATAACGATTGATATCATGCTTGGACTGTTGTACAGCATTCCATCCCTCAATTTTTGCATATCAATTCGATGCCTATAGTTCTTGCTCACAATTCCTTTATTCAGGCCTTCCCTTTCTATAAACACAAATGTCAGATAAACCATATAATCTCAAAAAAAAGGGCAAACCGTCAGAAATCGAATCCTGTACTAGAATTTGTACAGTTCACCATAGAAAAACCGAGTTATTAAAGGGCGGTGCCTTAGCTTTAAGGTATTCTTGAAGCAACTTTCACCCCAGTTCATTCCATCTACGCTCTCACCTACATCTATCGCTCACGTTTTCTTCGCCTATATCGCTTCTTTCTTAGGTGTTTCTAAACCCGAGTGAATGCTCTTCCCAATTTTCTATCCCCTTAATCATATAAACGCTTATTTAAAAACGCCATTCGTCGCTAACTGCCGCGCAGTGTCCGATCCGTGTTTATACTCGCCCAGTCTCGCCAATTCTCCAAACACGTTTTCAAATAGCGCGATTGTTCCTCAAAGTCAGTTATTACTGCTAGTTTTTTTCTTTTTGTAGCGGCCATTTCTGCTTTTCAAACATTGCTCTTTAAGCGTTCTACAGTTTTCTACGCTCAGAAATTCTCAGCAAGTATCATCTTAAGGAGCCACTCCCACTCGTTTCCATAATATCGCTCATCCAAATCCCTTTTCCTTACCAACCACCTTTCGTATACTTACGAACACCTTGTAGATTTCGTAACAACAGGCTTTACGCTGTAGTAATACGGCTATAAACTATAAGTTTCTAAAACAACAAGGCAATTAAGATTGGACAAATCTCTTCCTCTTTAAAAGAAATTTTGTTATGCAGGCTCGCAAACCTTGTAAATTTCTTTGTGCATCGTTTTAAGATTAACAATGTCATACCTCGCCGAGTATCCTCGACGTTTTGTGACGGATAACACCGGTGGCGGAGGTCGAATCAACGAGCTGTTGTTAGTAGAAGCGGTTGCTATAGTTTTCTGTTGCAGTTGTTCACGATCATGAGCTCGCTTCAGTTCCTCCACGTAAATGTCAGGAATTGGAAGATCGCATTGATTCGTCATAACCATCGTCACCGATGACACACCTGAACGACCACAGAATCGAATATGAATAATATCCGATTAAACATTCGATGGTCGAAAGGCATACTTAGAAATAAGTTTCACTTTATCTCCAAACTGCTCTAATGTGACGAATTCGACTTAGCTGCACAAATCTTCGAATATTCGACGAATTTTTGTATGGCCGAGTGTTCGTAAATAAAATTGCAACCGTTTTCCAAGAATAAATTTATATGTTAAACGTCGACAGCATTAACAGTTTTACACAGAGATTGATTTAATCGATGGCTTATCGTCTGAGAATGAGATCGTCATGGCTTGGGTAGCTCCTATAGGGTAAGTTAAGTTGAATAGTCTGACTTTTCACATCTGGAACACGAGGCCTTAGAATTCTCCTTCGATGTAGCACTCGCCACCAAAATCCCATTCAGATTGAAATTTTGTGATGTCTCATACACAATCAAAACGAGCAAGCAATCAGATATCCAAAGAAAGCACAAGAGGTAAAGAATCCTGGTATTGATCATTCTGTAGGACGTACGCCATGTAATACTTCATCAGGGATCGTTGAGACAAAACGACAGCGAAGGATAACTCATAAAGCTTCGATGTGCCATTGGTTTACTCTTAGACGAGTCTTCTGATGGAAATATTGTGAAACCTGCTTTCAGTTTTAGTGATCATCCTGCAGGAATGAAAGACTAGAATTAAAAGACAGTTCGACACCTAGGAAATTCTCCACCAAGCTCCATTTCAGGAAGATTAGAACAGAACCATAGTAGATAAAATCACGAAAAAAAAAGTGAACAGTTGAAGAGAAGGAAACAGAAACAAATACAAGAAGCACTTGTTTTATTATACCGCTGTGAGTTGATGTTTCTGAAGATGCTATTCGGGATCGATCTCACTCACCTCTGAATCGCTTCTCGTAATCGACCATTTGCTTCCAAAAGCCAACATTCGGTCGTATTACTGGTCGTGCTGATCGTACGAAATGATATGCTTGTCTTAGTGTCATACGTTCGTGTTTTACCAAATAGATCATCACCAATGATGCAGAACGAGAGACGCCAGCCATACAATGCACTAGTGTTCTACCACCACGATCCTTAAAAAAAGAACTGCAATAAACTTCATAGAAATGCTCCATGAAGTTCCTAAGAACTGAGTCCCTCAACAATAAGTCAAAGCCATCTTGATGGAATGGAACAACTTTACTATGTCCACTCTTTCAAATTTAACGACTTTTTCTTGCAAAACAGCTTGTATCTGAAAGGATTCGATGGCTTTCTTCAGATCTACCGTATCCACCTTCCCAATTTCATCCTCCAACATCATACTCCTCATCCTCTGCGGACTCTGTTCGGTTAGCCCAGCTTAAAAAAGGAACACAAAGAACAGAAGTTACTAACTATATAAAAAATCCGCCAAACCAATAACTATTTCGGAAAAAATGTCGCAAACGTTTAGAATTCCGTTAAGCAGTACGAGGGATTTTCATGGGTAGATGATAAAATAAGGATTTCTTAACCGTTTTATTTGCCGCCTATTCTTTTTAATTAGAAGGTATGTTGCGAAATACAACTTCTATGATGCTGAAATCTTCGTCGTTTACGCGCCGACATCAAACTATGACGAAGAAGAAGTCGAAGCGTTCTATATGGACCTGGAGAAATTCTACAGAGAAGGCCATACATTCTTCAAGGTCATCATTGGAGGTTTCAACGCCAAGATTGGACCAAGAAGAACGTCTAAAAAACGTCACATTGGGACCCATGGATTAGAATGGAACGAATAGGGTGAGCGGCTATCTTCTGAGCTTATTATGGCGGCCGACAATCCATGGTAACTCGCAATTCCAGAAGCCCCACCTTCAGCGCTGGACGTGGGAGTCTCCCAATGGAGAGTACCATAACGAAATAGACTACATCATAGTAAATAGAAGGTTTGGCCTAACCGATGTCGCTGTTGTCCCAAAATTCCACAAGGGATCAGGCCATCGTCCCCTTCGTGCAAGAGTCTCTTTAACGCGGAAAGGAGAAAAAGCCGCTAAATTCCAAAACTGAACTCCCAGAACCACCGCAAACTGGGACTTACTCAATTCATTAGTGGGCTGTTGGGAAGATGCCGTTGTCGATAACATCGACGAAGAATACGATTGGTTCATTCAGCATCTTCACGTTGGCGCTATGAAAGCTAAGAGTTCTAAAGTCACCAAGAGACGAATGTCTCCAGAAACATTCGAGCTGATACGCCAGTGTGGAATCGCACAAACTGCAGGCAACTGCGAGCTGACGTCCGAACTTGCAAGACAATGCAGACAGAGGATAAAAGAAGATCTTAAAGAAAGAAGAGCAGCAGCAATGGTCGAAGTCGCGGAGGCTGGGAAGAGCATACGCAAAGCCCACCGAAGCTTCGCCAATTACAAGAACAAAATGATTGCACTCGGGCACCCAGACGGAACAGTTGCAGCATCCAGAAAAACAATGGAGAAAACCATTTACGAATACTACTCGGATCTCTTCGACACCCACGTGCACCTTTCGTCATATGAAATAAAGGAGGATGGATATTTTGTACCACCGGTTCTCACTTCCGAAACCCGACATACCATTTCGTTGGTGAAAAATCAAACAGCACCAGGTCCGGGCAGGGTAAGACGAGAACACCTAAGGAAACTTCCGCCACTCCTCGTAAACACACTGGCTCGGCTCTTCACACGTTGCCTGTCTGAATGCAAGGCCCCTACTCAGTGGAAGACCAGCAAAAAACCGTGTTATTGTTCAAGGGTGACCTACTGTCTGTCGTCTACAAACTTCTCACTCCAGTCATCATAAACATGATTGACAAAAGACTAGACGATGGAGAGCCATGTGAGTAAGCAGGGTTTCGAAGAGGATTTAGCAGGGTGGACCACATCCACACGGTAAAAAGGCTCACTGAAGTATCGCGAGGGCACAAAAAACCGTTCTGTCTCATTTTCATCGAACTACACAAGGCCTTCGATTCAGTTGAGATTGAAGCAGTCTTGGAAGCGCTTGACAGTCAAGGAGTCCCTACTCAGTACATATTCTTCGCGAGCTGTACAAAAATTTCACAACCGAGGTATCATCAATCTACAACGATATTAGCATTGACGTCAAAAGAGGAGTTAGGCAAGGCGATACCACCTCGCCAAAATTACTTAACACCACCCTCCAGAACGTCATGCAAACATTGGAAAGGGATAATATGGAGGTGAAAATCGATGGTCAACAGTTATACTATCTTCGCTTTGCTGATGACATCGTTCTTACAACACCAAACATTAGCCAAGCGGAACGTATGCTTGACGACTTTGATAAAGCCTGTGGAAAGATTGGTCTTCGAATAAATCTCACAAAAACGATGTTCATGAAGAACGGATAGGTTTCGCATGTCCCATTCACGCTTAACGGAACGAATATCTCTGAATGCTCCAGTTATATCTGTCGGGTTCGAGAAATCAATATGATGAACGACATAGCTCCAGAGTTGAGCAGAAGAAAACGAGTGGCTTAGGGAGTTTTCAAGAGCATCGAGGATGTAGTGAAATGAACAAGGAACAGCCGACTCCGTGCCCACCTTTTCGACTCAACGGTACTTCCTGCCATAACGTATGCTTGAGAAACCTGGTCGCTGCGTAAGCAGGATGAAAGGTCACTCAGCGTTATCGAACGCGCGGTAGAAAGAACGATGCTAGGAGTATCCCGTTCCATCAAGTAAGGGATGGGATCCGAAGCTCCGACCTGCGTCAGCGATCAAAAATTAAAGATGCCGTTCTGTACGCCAAACAGTCGAAGATAAGGTGGGCCGGAAACGTAATGCGTATGAATGACAACCGATGGACAAGAGCCGTTAGTGGCTGGATTCCTCGGGATGTAAAACGTACTGCAGGAAGACCACCGACCCAATGGTCAGAGTTCTTCACAAAGAACCTTGAAGAAATGCATGATGCTCGAGGAGTCCCTAGAGCGAGGAGAACCCACTGGGTTACTCTTGCAGGCGACAAAAAAATGGAAAATTTATTAGCGTCCGTTCGAGTCACTCGACGATCAACGGGACTACGGGTGATACAGGTGATGATGCTGAGATATTTGCAAAACTCCGGACCGCAGGTGCCTACAGTGGGGAACGAACGCGACATTACCCTTTCCCGGGGGATAACGCGTTCACTACCACAACATGCTTGTCCTTCGTTTCGCCTGTCTCTCGGATAATCGGGTCCTGATCGATAAAACTAGCTGAGAGACAGGCGAAACGGAGGGTCCGCATAGTGTGGCGGTGAATGCGTTAGCTCCCAAAAAGGCAATAACACGTTCGTTCCCCACCGCACACATCTGCGGTCCGGAGTTTTGTAAATATCTCAGCATCATAGAAATTATAAGGATTTCTTTTTCTTTTCAAACAGTATCGACTCACAAAATGTGGCCAAGCTATTTCATTCGGTTTTTTAAAAATTATGATAGTTCTGTGGCCGAGCCGAAACAGGAAGGGAAAGGAAGAGAGAGGAAAGCCGAGACAGGATGACAATGATGGAAACACAAAAGATACAAAGACGTAACGGTAGAGAGAAGCAGAAGAAATATACGTATTTTCACCTTATGCATGAAGTATGTTTACCTTTCTGCACAGTCTATTAGTTTCACACTTTCTACGTAGTACTTCTAATAATGGGTTAAACGTTACCAAAAAAAGATAAACTGAAAAACTTCTACACCAAGAGTTTCTGTACCTTCACAGCTTTGATCTTGTCGGCCACCTGATCAAAATAGTCCTGAATTCGAGCGAATGGATGATCGTCTATTCGAACTTTCATGTATTCAACACCTTAAGCTTTTCTTTTAGTTCGATGGGAAAAAAGGACATATTCTTCAAAAATATTATTAACCTTATAAGATATATACATTATTTAGCGCGTGTGGTGCAGTGGTCGGAGGCCTGCAACGCACACGTGAAATCTGTCCCCGCGCCCATGGCCTATCAAGCCTTATATCACTCCAGGGTCGGCAAATTGGTATCACACTTGTCTGGGAGGATAGCGGTACTGGACTCGATTTATCGGTAGACCACCGCCAGTCATTGTAAAGGCCAGATATGCATTCGGTCACTTTCAAACGATGCTTAATGAAGTCGAATGCATGGCGTATCCCTCAGGGATTGATCAACGCGCCGAGAGCTTTGTCCTTTATCCTTTTATATATTATTTCAATACACCTAAATATAACATGACATAATATTATACAGGATGATAGATTATGCAGTATGTAATACAACATGATGATGTAATACATACAATAGATTTTTCTTATATTTTCAAACATGCTCATCAATGATTCATTCATGTTTCTGGATCGTCTACGTACTGCGCAGCCCAACAGCGCGTGCGTGATGGAGTCCTTCGACGTTACCGCCCTTTATACAAACGTGTCGAATGACTCCGCAATGCAAGCCATATTCGAACTCCTTACACAACACGAAGGAGAAATAAACATGTATGGCTTCAGGATAGAGCACCTGATGACACTCTTAACAGAATGCTTGAGCTGCTCAATCTTCAGATGGTCTGGAAAGTACTACGCTCAAATAAGAGGGTTGGCAATGGGGCAACGACTGGCTACAAGCCTTGCCATTGCATTTATGTCTAAGGTGGAAGCACCGGTGACTGATCTCGGGCCACTACTCTACTGTAGGTATGTAGACGACTGCTTTGTCCTTTGCTCAACACAAGAGGAAATGGACAAATGCTTCGAATTGTTAAACGCACAGTCAGAGTATATCAAGTTCACCCGAGAAAAGCCGAAAGAAAAATGGCTTCCATTTTTGAACGTACAAATTCACCTATCAGAAAATGGCTACATTACAAAGTGGTACCGAAAGCCAAGTAGTAAAAATATCTTGGTTCATTACCTCTCCTCTCACCCCTCTCACACGAAAAGGGCGCTTATAAGAAACATGTTTCGAACAGCAACCAACGTGTGCACGGGAAGAGAGCTGAGAGAGGAGTCCCGGAACTTGGCACGGCAAATAGCCGTTTCTAATGGCTACGAAACTGTAGCTCAGAATAGGTGTAGAG